AAACATACATATTTGTAGAATCAAAGACTGTCTAGGACAAAGCACAAGTCGCTTTAAATGCTACCATAAATTCCATAAATTGAGTTTTGAAAACGAAGTTAAGTAAACTTCAAAAAGAAAACGTCAACCTGTATTCCGAAAGTCCATTACATTCTATTAAAATGCAGCGTATTCTTTGGGTGTTCTTTAGATAAGCCCATGAGATTTTTTGTACAATATCCTGTTCTTCTTGGATTGGTATCCCGGGAAACGAAGACCTTTACCGAAGAATGGTAAAGTGCCACAGGTGATTTTAACATAGCATTATTGTTGTTCCCCACAAAGGAGGATCTAAACAAAACTAAATGCAATAACAAAGGTCTGCAACAAGATGATAACATGTCTTTATTCAACAGCAGTACATGTCTTGGACGGAATGGTTTCAATGATAACGAAATCTAAAATCACCAAATTCTGAATCAGAGGACCTTTGAACATTTGGAGTAAAACACAAAAAGTATATTTCTTTCTTCTCATTATTGGCGTGTGCTGACTGCAGGTGACGTGACAATCGTAGGGATGAGCACCTGTACCCATTGCATATCCACGTCATTTCCTGGATATTACACAAACGTCATTTCCTCGAATCCGTTACATAAACACGTCATCTTCAGCTCGTTACAGAGATGTCGTTTTATGAAACTGATTACATAAACACGTCATTTCCTGTAATAAGTTACAGAAACACGTCATCTGCAGCTCGTTACAGAGATGTCGTTTTATGAAACTGATTACATAAACACGTCATTTCCTGTAATAAGTTACAGAAACATGACATCTTATGCAGCTCGTTACAGAAATGTCGATTCCTAAAATCGATTACATAAACGTGTCGTTCGTTGCAATCAGTTACCTGAACATGTGATATCCTGTATCGCGTTATATACACATGTTCTTACCTGTAACCGTTATATATGTATGTCGTTTCTAGCCAGTTACATAAACTATCCTTTCCACTAACCCACAGCATATACATTTCCTTGCCCGTAACCCATAACATGGGCATGTCGTTTCCTACAAATCTTTACTTGGTATGTCGTTCCCGTCAGGTTCAACACATTTCATATAGTTTCCTTCATAAAATAACACGTTTCAGAAGAAGGAGAAAATGTTCTGAACTCGTATCGACGTTATTTGAGACAGAAAACCACACACACCTCGAGTACGAGTGGCGGTACTTTTTCGAGATACAAAGGATAAGCTAGGACTAAGAATAACTGAAGCCAAGTTTCTTTTCTTCCCGGTAAAGTATTGTCAGTCTCCGATATCTATCTGAGGGCAGAACCAAATAGTCGAGTCGAGTCAAACAGTGAACAGTTCATGCAGATGTCACTTTTAGCTTTCAACCCTACGTCTACGGGCCACGTCGCAGTGTATGTGTAGATACAAGCGACACTGTTGTATCTATATCGCAGGAGTGCGTTATTAAGGTATAGTTGAACCACACGTGACACGAATGACGAACTCCAGTTGGACCAAGCATTTCGCTGTGCTCTAAAGATAAGGATACATGTACATTTCAGCGACTGTGCAATCAGTTTCCTGGGGTCTTAAATAACGCATAACGCCAATGGATTGAGTTTAATTCCCTACCAGTTATAAGACAATGTCGAGTCATCTATGAAGTGCATGAAAGGGGTGGTTAAAAGAGAACCCTCTCAAAGTACAAAACTTATTTATAATCAATATGTATACTCATGCCAATAATGGTTGTCACCCCCTCCCCACCCAACACCCCCTCTCCAATAAAAATATTGAAGGGGGTGACAACCATTATTGGCATGAATAAATTTCATGATGAAATAGCTATATCTCTGTTTTTAGATAAGCAAATATGTTGTTGTTAAACATAATACATTTCGATATAGCCTTTCACAGTGCAGGTAATCATCTCAGATAAAATCTTATTAAGTGAAAACGCGGTATTCCGGGAGTTATCGATATCTGTCCTAATGGAATCCCCCGGATTAACGCACATGGGTGCTGTTTTCAAACTGTTCAGATAACGAGGTTCACGATAGGTATCACGTGGTCCGGACGGAGGAAGCGTCGCTGTAGATTGAAACCCTGCCATCAAGCCCGACATCTCGACATCCCATGGCCTAGATTTTCGAAGCTCTCTTAGCGCTAAGATAGTCGTAAGTTAATGTTAATGTATGGCACTTACGACTATCTTAGCGCTAAGAGAGCTTCGAAAATCTAGGCCCTGGTTAGGGGAACTTTGGACAGCGACATTAAAGACATATTAATCTGAAAATTTGTGAATCTTGAAAATTTCTGATGGCGTGATACGGACTAGCGTGGTTTCCCTGTGTACGCAACACGTGCATTAAAAATGTGATTCAAATTGAAATTATGCATGAGAAAAATATATGCAGCAATATGCTCTAATTAACAAACCACAATATATACAGGTGTTGATTATGAAATCGCATAGGCTTGAAAGGTCACGGCAACAATCTAACTCTCAAACGGGCTAATATTTGGAGACTTGGACATATGGTACATCTTTGGTTCATATGACACGCATTTAGTGCCTGACTGGATGACCTGCCTTCTTTTAGAACAGCATACAAGGTTCCTTGAAACACCGTTTTCATTTTCAACTTTTATGACGGGATAAATTTATGTTTTCAGGGGGCACTTTATCGATCCTAAGTGAAATGTAAAATAAAGGCTAATATTAATCATTATCTTACCTCACACATAAATGTCGCTTTCTGATTGGCTGATCGCTCTTCTATTATTTTCAATGTACCCCGCTTACAAGCGAGTAACATTTCAATGTACCCCGCTGTCAATGGCAACTCATTTGGTACTTAGTGGTAGTAATTCTTTATCTCGAATAAAATTGAATCACGTATGATGTACGGAAATTACCGATGTTTTGCGAATGCAAATCGATGGAAGGGAGATAACTCTAAATCTGTTTTTCTTGTCAGCAAAATCTCGCGATGGCTACAAAAAGATTTGTACCCGTGCTTCAAACAATTCAAAATTAACATTAAGGTGTTCGGTAAGATAAATACGTTGTTCACTGGTCCCTCGGGGCCCATGGGTTAATGTACCCTCGATGTTTGTTTATGTTCCCCTCGCCCTTCGAGGGTACATCAACCCATGCCCCCCTCGTGACCAGTGAACAACTTATAATATTACTTTTGACATACCTTTCTACAGAATGAGTTAATTGATTTATGTGATATTACTGCACAACATAAAGAACGGAGACGGTGAGTGGCGTGATGTCTGTAACCTTTGGTGAAGTCATTTGGCCAGCTTATAAGTCATCTATTCAGGGATTAGAAATCAGCGTCACACTGCCTCTGTAAGCTGCAGTTAGAAACCTCCACATCTTCTTTATCTCTAAGACGAGCGCCGAGTGTCATTTGGAAAACGTGTATTGAACAAATCTTGATAAATGTACGAAATATGTCGATAATGAACGAAATATGTCCATAATGAACGCAATATGTCGATAATGTACGAAATATGTGGAAAATGTACGAAATATGTCGAGGAACACTGAATGTTTCTCCAGATGGACTCGGGTAAAATATGATGTCAAATAATACAAGAAGCAGCAGAAGAAGCATCTGGAGGCATAGACAAATACCTGTTGCCATGAAGCACTTACAAAATGCAGCATTACATCATCTCGTTTGTTTTTTTCATTTTAATGTATATATCTTTGAAAACAAAAATATAAGTGGTTTGTCCCAAGCCAAATAAATACTATATCCAAACCAAATGTAAAATTTTAACTAATCTTAGCTTACCATTTTTTCAGGTGCATAAAATCTGCAAACAATAAATTCTTGAAACAATGTTGTGGAACTTGTATTGAAGCAAAATCGACAACAAATCGTTTAGGTGCTCCTGCTGAGACAAATTGGTAGGCGATGGTTGTGAAAATCGACAAACATGGTAAACATTGTAAATTGAACATGTAGGCGGTTAGTATATTTTGATATAATGTAATTAAGCGGTGATTGGTAAAATGAAATCTTCAAAGTTGCATTCATCATACATGTTTGTAAAAACTGTGAATACATCCCACGTTTATCACTGACTAAATATATTTAACGGCCTGGTAAGATCATTGCTCGTTTGTAGCTGTCATTCGAACTTGAAAGAAGCAGATCATTTCAGAAAAGGGAGAGAATCCGTGTCATTCCCGAACGGGTATTTTAAAGGTTATACCATGTTATCAATTATAATTCACTTTATGAAAATAATATTTACTCCATCAGTTGTCAGACTTGAATTGCCATAGTGTTAAAATCACCATATCTGGATGGTGCAAGGCCACCCGTGGGCTGATAATGACAGAAGAACTGTAATAACTATAGTAATCAGTTTCAACAATAGGTCACCGTATTACGGCCCATTGTAGCAGTACCTGTCCCTCGGTGTATGTACATATCAGTCAGTGGGATGATGTCAATCATACCACACAATACGCATGATTAATTACTATTTGCATATTGAGAGCCCGGTAGTACTGTAACAATACCAATAAAGGGAGTGTGTTCTGACATCAAACATAGCGTTTTCCTCAAATAGACGAGATGCGACCTGGGTTCAATAGTACCGCCATTCATCACATGTATGCAACAGACGCCAGTGCTCCGATAAAGACACAGGCCCTTCAGTAGGCATCGGATATAACTAGATTGGAAGAAAATAGTCACAATCTCCAGCAAACGCCGTGTATTTTAAATGTCACACGATTTTTGTGTCAAGCTTGTGAACTCATTCCATTAGCTTCACATGTGAATCGTAGCTCTTTAATAAGAGCCTTGGTCCCGATCCACAAAGCATTCGTAACGTTACGACCTCTTAACTCTACATTTTACCATAGACTTACAAATGACTTAGCGCTACGAACGCTTTGTGCATCGGAACATTGAGCATTAGAATGTCCGAAAGACACGATACGTCCGAGGAAATACGGTAATTACCAAACCATCAGTATATTAACTGCAAAATCACGTATATCAATTGCCGCTTGAACAGTGTGCCATAAAATGTGTGCTCAATATTAATTGATAACCTTATATGTAAATGTACCGTATTTACACATGTGAAGTTATGTACAAAACAGTCATTTACTGGAATAGCAGTGTGAAGTGGAATACTAAAATATGACTGTGAGATTAGACAGCTGTGGCTCATTATATATGGGTTTTACTGCAAACATGAATGCATTGTCACTACATATATTGACAATGCATACAGGATGGAAAGCATAACGGTCATTTTTGGTTGTCGAATATTTGGAACTCTTATCTTAAAGATGATACCAGTTTGGCAATGTAATAGTTTTTGACGGGGCTTAAATTCTAATTATTCACTCCATCGTGCATATATATCATGTGACATTGTCATTTACATGGAGAATATTATGTGCCTTTTAATGTTTCCTATTACATGTTATCATATAAAACAATCACATAAAGGCGTCAATATGCCTTTTATATTACCAGCATTTCAATTGCACAGCGTGTTTGTTTTGTGGAATCTATTGCAATCATTCACTGTCAGGGGTTTGATAATAGTTCAATACATCTGAGTCGGAAATAACCCGTGAAATAATTCAATCCCATTGTCCGCAAGAGATGACACAAAACGATCAATTGCTAAACGCGGTGCGTAATTGATAACCCATCGGATGACCAGTGTAAATTGGCAATGAAAAGAATACGCCAATTACAGAGCCAGTAGAAGCATTAGCATCCTTTGTAAGCATCAAAGATGTCGATCGACGTTTGGTGAAATAGGTTACTGTGTATGTTCTGGTGCGATCGACGTATATCTGACAGCAACCCTGATTGATTGCGAAGGCTTCCATTGTCTCTCATTTTGTCTCACCATCTGCAAATAGAAATAATATTGTCCTTCTGTACTGAGTTAATACAATGGCACTTTGTACCTGCGTCGGTTGTTGTTAGGTTGCAGGCCAGAGACGATGGATCTGAATAGGCCTGTTACAGATAAACAAATATTGTCAGTCTCACATATATTTTTCATATGCAAACACACAGAGACAGCATCTGACATCATCGGGCGTTCAAATATTGCGATGGTCATATTATGTGTACTGGTAAACTGTACTGCGCATATCACGCGTGCAGGTAAATCGAAGAGAGGTATAAGTCGAGACAAAACACATGAGGAAGATAAGGGTCGGCTTTATCGTGATGAGAACAAGTCGTGGAATGAAACATGTTCACATACATTAACGTTATATTTGGAAACAGCATGGCAATGATATTTATACATGCAACATATCACAACAATCATATGTAGTCCAGGTCCAGGTTCCGGGCGATTACTTGGGGAGGAACACACAATGCCATTTAGAAAGTAGTGTGCTGGCGATTAGGTGCCTGACTCTGTGGGTGTGGGTTCGAATCCCGGGTGGGACCTAACCAAACAAAACTAATAGAATCTGCAAAGGTCTAGTCATGGTCTAGTCATGTTAGATTACATGGATCGGATATAACGCAACGTTTTGGATGTATGTTAAGGTTATAGGTAAATATTTAAAACATTTAGATCCAAAACATTGCGAAACACTTGAACAAAAGTTAAGAACACAACTTCAAACCTAACAATCCAGTTAAATGTAATTTTCACCACGATCATTCCCACCACCATTACCATCACCACAATTGCCACAGTCATCAACATCTTCATCACCATCATCACCACACCATTACCAAAATCATCATCATCACCACCACACCATTGCCACAAACATCACCATTTATCGCAACCATCATCATCATCACTACACCATTGTCTCTGTGGAAAAACAAAACGGAAATATCCGAATATTACGACGTTTTCCGAATGCATGTCAAAATACCGGTTTTCGATTAGCGTATCGCAATACGTATCGTTTTCATGTCTGAACCGGTAAATACCGGTAAACCGCAGCGCAGCGCTATAAACCTAGTTATTTTACTGTCCTTCGTTGACAGGTTTTTATAATTTACCTATGATTATTATTAACATATAACTTGATATAGTCACGATATGCCTGAAATACTGCCAATGTGAATTAAAATTTTAACTCACTCACTCGCTTTGTATCATTCTACGTGTATGTAAATAAAGCCACGAAACCCCTTACACATCCATAAGAAATCTCTGCTAAAAGCAGAGTTGATAGTACCATTGTAAATATATCATGAACATATATTTGTTTTAGAAGTATTACAGCTGTACGACGTTGTTTGTAAAGAAATCGCGTCTGAACCAGACAATCCAGTGATTGTCACCATGCGATACGATGACAGAGTATGTGTTCATGAATCACTAAGAAATAGTGATGATACCAGGTGTTTGCAAAAAGGTGAGCGTATCCTGCCCCACCGGTGGCACCCGTCATAAACATATGCAAATTGTAGTCAACTGTTCAACTGAAATGATTCGGGAACGTATGGTGGAAGTAAAAATAGGGAATTGCATCGGACATCACCCCTTTGTTAATATGGAGACTCGAACGTTCTCACCTGCTCAGGCCCCCACCCACAAGTGATCTGAGCGATGCGGCAATGTATAAGTATGGGACACATGGCCATGACCAGATATCATAAAAAAAACTGAAAAGATATTCAGGAAAAGCTTATTTTAGATTGTCCATACATTAATTGATCCTATTTTATGATCTGCCCATTTGCGGAACCTCATGTTGCAATATTCTTTTAAAATTTTAAAGTGAGTGAGTTGGGGTTTACTCCGATTTTAGCAATATTCCAGCAATATCACGGCAGGGGCCACCAGAAATGGCCGTCAGCGTATTTATCAACACATGGTGTCGAAGCGGATAACCGAACCTGTTCTTTTGACACGACGGGCGAATGCTTCAAATACTTAGCTACCTCGCAGGCGCACGTCGGATTGGACATTACTGTGGCGCGTGGGATGTTGAACGTTCTACATTCGGCGGAGGTAGCGTGAGCGTGAAGGGCGCCAACACTGCAAATCACATGACTCCTCTGGTTCTCATCGAAGGTGTGAAATACCTTGGTAATGTCCGTCCTCTTGTCCTTCAGGCTTTCAGACCCATGGACGTCATATCACTTCACAGCAGGACAATGTATCCCCAGGGGAACAGAACAACTGTCTGTCGTCATTCCAACGTGTGGGATGGAAATAAACGTCGCTTTGGTCGCCTTGTTCAAATCGTGACGTTGATCCAGCTGCGTTGGTCTAGCTTGAATGAAACCCCACAAGCTCCCATCGACCATCGTGTGTCTCCAGAACTTGAAATTAAGGCGACAAGTGAGATCGTCTCAACTGTTTCATATTTACATCAATTGCATAAAAATCCTCTCCACAAGGCTGTATGACAGAAGGGATGATTTCAACTTTCCAATAGTCAACTTCCCTTTCATGTCGGGCAATATTCCACCAGCTCCAGCATTTGGTGTTTACATTTCACAACTTTTGAGGTACAATCGAGCGTGCTCTTTTTATCAGGATTTCCAGGAGCTCCACACCGCTCTTGCTCAGAAGTAGTTTGATCAAGGTTACAACATTCAACGCCTCAGTAAAGCTTTCAAGATGTTTTATGGTAGACACGTCGAGGAAATTTCCAAATTTGATGCTTCAGTGACACAAATAATGTCCGATGCAATCCCTTATTTTGACTTATACCACACGTTCCCGAATTATTTCAGTGAACCATTGATTATACTTATGTTTATGACAGGTGCCACAGGCGGGGCAGGATACGATCACCTTTCCGCGAACACCTGGTATCATCACTATTTCATAATGAATCATAAACACATGCTCTGTCATCGTATCGCATGGTGACAATCACTGGATTGTCTGATGCAGACTAGATTTCTTTACAAACAACACCATACAGCTGTAATGCTGCTGAAACAAATATATACTCACGATATAGTCACAATTGTACAATGACTCTGTTTTTAGAAGAGATTTCATATGAATGTGGAAAAGGGTTTTGACCCTTCTAATGTCAAATTTCTGTGTCACAGCTGATGGTGGCCAAACACGATGCTTCCTTGTCAACCGAGCGTTTATTAAACATTTTCGGCCGGAGCTCACGTTTGTAACGTACATGTGATGACATGTAATAATTAATTCATACTTACTTACCATCAATATATGTTCTAATGCCAAATCGTTCTTCTTTTGCGTTAATTTATATGCCTCGCGATAATCAATGATGTAGACGAGCCTTTTTCCAGTTTTATTTATACGACTGTCGATTAACGTGCGACTGATACCTAAGGCAGCTGATGACATGCTAATCGTGTTGTTGAACGAATGGCACAGTTACAAATGTATATTGTGAGGGTGATACATTTTGTCTGCCATACTTCTGTAGCCCATGATGCAAATCTAACAACTACCATGTGTAATGTGTAGGTTTGATCGGCACTACATTATTAACAAGTATCTGTCCTTGTCAACTGGAGCAGTGTTCCCTTGGGGTTTAAGGACATTTCACTGATTGGCACGCGCACTTTGCTATTGTCAGATTGTCAGATGTTGGTTTTCACTGATTTTAAATTTTCAGGAGGCTCACAGCGTGCTTTTCGTGTTGTTCGAGGACATTTGTGTAATATTTAACTGATCGATATCACCAAGACGACGAGCAACTGGAATTGTAAAGCACTTGGACCGTCTAAAAAATCATAGTCTTTAATCAGTTGACAAAAATATCATTTCAGTATGCTGAGGAAATAATTCACATTAGGTTTACCTGCAGAAGCCTGTCTTACTTCAAACACAGGAGCTAAAATTTGTAATCGATGTGAATTTTTTTGTTCTATTCTAAACTGAAATTGAAATCTACATTGGATTTTGAATTTGTAGAATAGGTAACAACATACATTTTCACATTTGTTTTCTTTCACCTAATGAACTACCAACGACCATGTCTGACTGAAGATCGTAATCAGTTGGTTGTAGCTATTTTCTTAACATGGTTATGTACTTTTGCTGTGGCAGGATCCGATGTTCTTTGGTTATAAAACACATTCGTCCTGGTTTTGACCCCAGACACTCATGATTACCAACATTTCAGCTATATAGCGGCGGTCTGTGAATAATCGAGTCTGGACCAGACGATCCAGTGATCAACAGCATGACCATCAATCTACGCAATTGGAATACCAATGTGTCAACCAAGTCAGCGAGCCTGACCACCCGATCCCGTTAGTCGCCTCTTACGACAAACATGGGTTGCTGAAGACCAATTCTAACCCGGATCTTCACGGTGCCGTGGCATGGTTTCAACGCTGGAAAGCATTATTAAACCTGCATTAGTCTCGACAAATGCATCAGCGACATACTGTCTCAATCTGGCGTTGTGATGCAGCGTTGACATTTTGATACCCTGAAATGAAACATGTTTGGCCAAAGTTCCAATAGTCCGTACATTTGTCAATGTATTGACCCTTTGGCACGTGATATTTTGAGTTACCGTTTCAATTCATCATCATGTGCCACATTCACAATCCATAAAGCGCTTTTGATGGAAGTGATCTCATATCTAATTACCCTTTCGTGGGCTTTCTACCGCTGACATAAATAGAACATCTTTATACAAACAGGAAATTTCACGACGCATAACGACCAGCTACCAATATTATGTTAGATTATACCTACTGAACTATAAGGTTACCATAGAAACGAAATAATATTGTATATTCCAAGTGACGATTTATACTTACAGCGTTCAAAACATTCAAATATTTATTCATCGTATACCACGAACATCATGGTGGTCAAAGAAGATTAAGCTGTCTTCGTTTGTTGATCGAGGGTTATTTGTAACGTCTAATCATATTGATTTTGGAGCTATTAAATCGATACCGACTTTATTGATGTTTCTCCAATTACTTCTAGAGGTTTGAGAGTAAACAGCAGACTCGTATGGACGGTGAAATGGGACTTTTATGTAAACGTAAAAATCTGTAATGCACGACCGATCGAAGACGAATGACATTAACAAGAAAGCGTTTATGTTTTAGCCACGTTTTGCAAGGGAATAAATTCAATAGACGTGATTTTTCTCTAGTTCTCTTTCATTTGTCCGTGTTTAGGTCAGCGCCAGGCAACAATGTTTATTTCGTCTTAGTTTAAAGCTTGTTTGCTTTTCGTAAACGCATACATACAAACATACTCTGTGCCATTACTCAGGTGAATAAATTTGAATAGCACTTTAGAACTATTATTATTATGAATATGTACGAGTGTAAGGAAAGCGGGTATTTGGGTAGCACTCAATCTGTTGTGTGTATGAATGATTTGTCCATGTTAAGAAACATTTTACCTTTAATGTAAGCTAATACCTTTGGTTTCATCGTAACGACACAAAGCGAAGAAACACAGTAGCGCCTGAAAATTGCAATGGTCTTGTGTGTACAGCGTGGTGTTCAACATCGGCAGCGGTTACGTGTACATACTTATCAAATACGTTTGGGATTTTACAAGAACTTTTTGTTTTTACATAAATATCGCCAAAACCATATTGCCGAGACTCTGCCAAAGTTTAATAAAATCGACCTTGCCATCTATCGAGACGTACTGACTGTTGAATTCTGGACACGGCTTTAAACAACACTGATACTAACACCTTCTCGTATTTAGTACACAATAAGAGACTCAGACAGAACATTTTGATATCAACACCGCTTGCTTTTAGACACATTCTACTTTCTGTTTCGGGGGACTTTACAAACATATCGTGATACCAAGACCTATTTTTCTGGTTTTTGGTATCTCCAACAGTACATATGCATTAGGATACTAAATCTGCTGTTTCACACGCTCTTACTGTATGCTTCTTGAGTCCCCAATAGTAAATGACTGTACCAACACCTGTTTGCTGGACACACACTTACTTTCTGGTTCAGGTGTCTCTACCAATATTTTATGAAGACCAAGACCTGTTGTTGGACGCACACTTGTTGTTTGGATCAGGTCTCTCTACCAAGACATTATGAAGACCAGCACCTGATGTTGGACACATACCTACTTTGTGGTTCTCCACCAATACCTTATGAAGACCAACACCTGTTGTTGGACACATACTTATTTTCTGGTTCCCTACTAATACTTTATGAGACCCACACCTGTTGTTGGACACATGCTTACTTTCTGGTTCTCCACCAATACCTTATGAAGACCAACACCTGTTGTTGGACACATACTTATTTTCTGGCTCTCTACTAATACTTTATGAAGACCAACGCCTGTTGTTGGACACATGCTTACTTCCTGATTCTCTACTAATACTTTATGAGACCCACACCTTGTTGTTAGACACATGCTTACTTTCTGGTTCTCCACCAATACCTTATGAAGACCAACGCCTGTTGTTGGACACACACTTACTTTCTGGTTCAGGCGTCTCTACAGGTGCAGGCTGTGACTTGGCAGCTGCAGCAGGTGCAGGGGATGGCCGAGGGGTCATCCTAGCCTGGCGTTTCTGCTCCCTCTTGGTATTCACCATGTCCAGCTGACGCCGCCTTTCTTCCTTTAACTTTTCGTTCTTTCCATGCAGGTCACTCAGCAGCTGTTCCGTCTCAATCTGCTGGGCCTTCAACACAATGGTGTCGACGTCATGCTTACATCGAAGTCACATGCAATCAGAATGGGTTCTATGTCTTCAATTAATAGCATACGTATACCAAACGTTGTGTGCATTGTGGGCAGCGAATTACAAAAATTATGAAATATAGTCATGTACTGAAGAATTGTAAAGTCAATACCAAATCAAACCACTTTAAAATGAAAATACGACATTTTGTCATTTTGATTATCATCAAACGCAAATAAATAGAATTGGCTAGGGGATATTCCAGCATGCGGTTTTAGCCCTACAGTCCTCCCTTCAGTAACTAAGGTGCAAGAACTAAGAACTAAGATGCAACGGTCCCGAGTATATAATGTTATAATGAGTATACTAGTAGACATAGAAGAGAAACCCCAGACTTCAAAGGTGACCCCTCTGAATAAGTATGAGCACTTTGTTTAGGTTATGTTTTCAAATCATGTGTGGTGGACTACACGTGGGTTTTATTACGCACGAGCAAAACGTGCAACAGGTGCACTTCAACATGAGATGAATGATTGTTTGTTTGTTGTTTAACGCCGCACTCGGCAAATGTCCAGCTATATGGCGGCGCATTGTAAACAATCAAGTCTGGACCAGACAGTCCGGTGATCGGCAACATGAGCATCAATCTACGCAATTGGGAACCGATGACATGTGTCAGCCAAGTCAGCGAGCCTGACCACCCGATCCCGTTAGTCGATTCTTACGACAAACATGGGTTGCTGAAGACCAATTCTAACCCGGATCTTCACGGATTCAAATGAACTCACGGATGGAGCCTTTTGTTCTGTGTACACCTGTATTAAACGCGCAGCTGCTTAATTTGAAATAATAATAATAGATATTACGTTTTGTACGTAGCAGTATTCCAGCTATGTGAGAGCCGTTGTAAAGATAATCAAATGATTGACATCAATCATGGGCATCGACTAACGCAATTGGGATACAATGCAACAACCAAGTCAGCGAGCCTGACCACCCGACCCCGTTAGTTCCTCTTACGACAGTCATGGCTGCAGAAGACGAATTCTACCCCGGATCTTCACGGATCGGTATGTTATGAAAACACAAGCATTATGAATTGGTATACACAAAGGATATACACACCGATTTCTGTCCTTCGTCTATGGTCAGACTTATTGGTGAGTTTGGTAGTTCCATAGATTCAGTGACACATTCTGACACTGTGGTAATACGGGAACCCTGAAGACTCCGGTTCCAGCGATCCTCAGCTGCCGTCTTAGGTTTGTAGCTGGCCCCAATGCCTTTATTAGAGTCGGTAGAAGGTTCTGTCTTCTTCATATCTTCTATGACACTGAATTCGCTTTTATTTTTCTTTCTGTTCGCAACGTTAATTGTCAACTTTTTAATAAAGTCTGTTGCTCTCTGATTTTTGAGTAGCAGCTTCCGCTGTAGTTCCTTCCGTTTCTTCTCGGGTAATCGCACCCTTGATTGCGCGTGCGCGTAATAAAGAGTAAAGTTATTGACCACGATTGGGACAGTGAAGGCCACCGTTAATACTCCACACAACACACACATAAATCCGATGATGTACCCTCCTTCTGAGACTGGTACCTTGTCACCATAACCGACCGTCGTCATGGTTACCAGAGCCCACCAGAAACCAATTGGGATATTATTGAATGTTGCATTTTCCGCATAGTAGATTATGCTGGCGAATATGAGGACCCCACTAAAGAGGAATATGACCATGAGGCAAAGTTCTTTAGTGCTGACTTTAATTGTGTACACTAAAATCTTGAAGGCTGTGTAGTGCTTCATTAGCTTGAAGATACGCAGGACTCGTACAATTCTTAAAGCCAGGACAGACTTGAGAAAATGACTGGCGGAATCTGCAGGGTTGATGGTCTTAATCGTGATGGCGATGAAGTGCGGAAGGAGACATAAAATATCGATGACGTTAAGAGGCTGGCGTATGAATACCAGCTTCCTCGGAAGCGAAGAACAGTCGCATGAGATATTCAAATGTAAAGAAAGCCGCACACAAATAGTCCAGGTATTTCATGGCGTCGTGTGGCTCGGTGAGGGAACTGGGGAGTTCGTCGACCTTGACCTTGCAGCAGCATGCCCCGTCCCCCCCTGTTAGTGATCTCCACGGATGTTGTGTTGGGGAGCGTCACACCAGGGAGAGCCACGCGGAACCAGGCATGGGTCTCTAGGCAGAAGACGGCGATAGACAGAACCACGAAGAACATTGACACAACCGCATACACCTGTAACAAGATATTATGGAGTCTATTTGTTGAAGTCATGACATGTTCCAATCATCACTGGACACTCTGTATCTGCAATGTTGAAGATATTACCTCAATCTGTCATCATAACCACTCGCTATGATTAACCTGTTGGTTGCCCTTGTCTATATTAAATATAAATTCGAATAAAAACGTTAACTTCATGCTGTTAAGTTAAAATGTCCAAGGAGCTTAACAACGGACACGAAAATATCAGACTGAATATGGACGGAAAGGCATATAACCATATACGTATGTGTTTTCCACTCAGAAATAATAGCAGACTGTTGCTGTATTTGCCGTGTAGTGTCCGCGGAGAGAGAGAATAGCTTTAAGGAAAGATTGTCCATCCTTGACCAACTGTGAGGTGTTTTACATGACATGCTGGCTTAATATAGACTTATCTAGCCGTAGCGTGTAGTGAAACCTGGGCCTAGATTTTCAAAGCTCTCTTTACGCTAAGATAGTCGTAAGTGCCATACATTAGCATTAACTTACGACTATCTTAGCGCTAAGAGAGCTTCGAAAATCTAGGCCCTGGCCTTGGGCTAAAATTCAATAGAAACACGTTTACGAAATTAGTTGTTTTGATGCTATGATGATGAAGAATGACACCTTTGCCCATCTTGATGATCCAGGATCTTCCAGAAACATCCAAATACGTTTCTTGAACTTCTGCAGTGACGACGGTTTCTCCCCCCACGCCTTCTCGTCCAGTCCCAGAGTGAAGTTCTCATCAAGGTCTGCCAGATTGTCTTTGTGTTCCTTGAAGCGACTGTAGTTGCCCCAACAGCATGGCTCTATGTCCAGCTCCGTTAATCCCCAGAACTCCAGCTCCTGAAACAGGGTCATGTATGTAATAAATTATATGGATTTGAAATCAGGTCTAATTCCAGTTCTACTATCGTGACCGATTGTCTGTGTAGTGATCAGGGTACAGTGCGATCTTATTGTTATATGTCGCTTTATTTGCCCTGACGTCACTTTAATGTGCATTCAAGTTACTTGTCTTTGTTTTGTCTTTTTTCTTTGTTTTGTTTTGTTTTGTTCTTGTGGGTCGTTAAAGCTCACGGCACACAGATATAGCTTCCTATCTAACCACTGGAATGAACCATAGAGTAAACGAAATACTGCTGATTTTGTTAAACTCTCTCCTGCTTGGGAAACAAAAAATCCCGTTTTCTGAAATCAACAATGCACAGTTGTGATGTACTTATTTGCTAATATCTAGGAGAACTATGGCTGTTACTTAATTTGTTATCGATGGCCTAAATTTCGTAGTCCCATATTTAGTAAATAAGACGAGTCCATTTTATTAGAGTTCACCCCGTCATTGTGAGTCTCAAGTAATTTTAAGTTTAAGTACCTAAACATTATAAGAAAGAACGCACCAACATTTACAAAATACTCAGCAGCAAAAAAAAACCGTCAGTACGAATTCAAAATTAGATAGGTACTGTAATCAAATCATTACGGAAATGGACATAATAAGCGGATCAAAAACATTTTTTGTGTACAATATCCTGACACATCAATGAATAACTCAGAACAATTCCAAGACATTACGTGAACGTTTGCAGTCCATTCAGACTCTTGACCTCAGTATCTAGTGTGACCACCACGAGCGGCAATAACTGCAGCACAGCGTCTATGCATGGAGTGCGCCAATCGATTGATGAAGGTCATTGGCACATGGAACCACACTCTGAGGAAGGCCTGGCACAATAAATCGGCAGTGTTCGGCCTTGGTATGACATTATTCAGTCTCCTCTGAATTTCATCCCAAAGATGTTCAATTGGGTATAAATTAGGACTAAGGGCTGGCCACTGCATACTGTTGACACCGTTCTGCTGTAGGAAGTCCCGTGTAGCTCTGGCAGTATGGGCCAGAGCTTATCATGCTGGAAAATGTTGTTTCGGTGACGAGCAAAAGGTGGTATGACGTGGGGTCTGAGGGCTTGGTCGATGTAGCGCACCGCTGTTGCATGAAAAACATGGAAAACACCGTACCATCTCCGAGATCAGGTTGCGTCTTTGAGACCATTTCCTGGGTTCCATTCTGAGTTTGGGAAGGACTGCCTTTGCTCAGGTAAAGGTGGAGATGTTTTCAAAATATACATTCAAATCATTAAATGAGTTTACAGTTATCCGTTTCTGCAAAGGAAAATTAAAACTGACGTTTATTTTGCTGCTTAGTATATAACGGATGCATGGAAAAAATGTTAACAACTAGTCCTACCTTACGTAACTGAAGTATTCCCCAGTGACAATTCATAGTGTAAATATTTTATTGCAGTATGGATGTTTAGCTGTACTTGCAAAATAGATTCTGATTGGGGAATTATCCGGTACCGTAGTCACGTTACGTAGTCTGCTGTCATGCAATAGAAATAGCAGAAATGTTAATGGTGCCACTAGTAAAGTTGAATGATTTATAACTACATGTACATGTATTGCTCGATTCCCTATTGTGGCATAAACTTGATATGAAATGCGAAAGCAATACTTCAGGGTGAGGTACCCTCAAATTACGTAATAAGTAATAAGTCATCCGTAATGAAGCTGCTGATCCATACCGTCGAAGTCGACCATTTCAATAGTGGTACAAAGCCTGGCTGATATGTTCTGTATGAGTCGGGGAGCTAGTAGCTGGAAGCGATCAATTATTCATTGTAGCAAGACAGCAATTGTTGTCCTTAGATCAAAGCGAAAGTATATATAACGCCTCACTGTAAATAGCAGCGAAACATGACGAGTAATGAACATACTTTCGTTGCAACGCCGATGACGTCGGATCTCACCAAGTATGAGCCAAACTATTTTAAACTCAGTCTCGTTAAAACCAGATCATTTACTCATAATACCATAGCGTGACCATATATGACAAACATTACGTCTGCTGACTCCTGAGTGAACCTGATAGAAGAATCATGGACGTTTGGCCTGATTCAAATGCCAGCTTTATAGCGACTTCGTTTCTTTCAAATTCAGTTAAAAAGATTGATCTTAACAATAGGAAACACGAAGTGTTTCAAACATGCCCTTAACAGTCCACACTTTGGGGTTCCAGAACGACAATGCGTATAAATTATCCACAACTACAGCTTAACCTTTATTATTTTCCATTTCCAACTGCCCGATTATGTTCGTTTTTTAGATAAAGAAGTTGGATATGCTGCTCTGAATATTTCCCTCGATTGGAGGATAAGATGCCTTGGTAATGATTGGTTGGCTAGAACTTTCATCTGACGCGATCTCCGATGCTTTGGATCAGTATTAACTCAAGTCCTATAAATATTGTGATTACTGAAGCGTTCGTGTTTGAATTACACTGCAAACCAGATTATGAACCTACTCGATAGTCAGTTGTCTTAATATGTGCATCCGTCTTCTCTACGGTATAGATTTATTGCATGTTATTTACTCACATTTCATACAAGTTTGTATAATTCATAATATTTAGTATGTGATCAGTTGAATCTGGTATATTGAACATCCAATATCTATATTGAATCAAGATGTAAAATAACTAACAATGTACGGCTGTTCACAAATGGCTCGATAACGCAAATCATCATACAGTTTACGTCACAATATCATCGATTTGCTAATTCTACTCGTAAAAATAAACTTCACGCTTACTGATCAAATGCTCATTCTACGCGTAAAGTGACAAAACAACTCAGTAAATAATGAAACACAAGTAAAATTCACACAAGCAGAATCAATCAATATCCCATATAAATCGATAAAATATCCATTTGGTTTTTAGTGTGAACGTGTGAATTGAACTGAGAGACTGACAGGAACTCACCATCAATACATCTTTCATTGACAACTATATTGTCCACGCCATCATCGATAGGAATAGTTCCGACATATAGATAAGCAACGGATAAAGATTATCATTCTGTGCCCTTGTCTGATACCAAGTCCAAATGTATATTCTGTTAATTAAGACGTCTACAATATATTATTAGACATTTGCCGTTCCTTCATTTTCAGTTGCACTTTCCAGGACAATGTATCCTCATTGCAATGTACCCCTTTAACTCGAAGTCGAGATGAATATATAAACATTGTACCATAAGTGGAGTAAAGATTAAACATCAACTCTTCCATGCACAATGTATCCTTATTGCAATGTAACCCTTTATCACGAAGTCGAGATAAATATAATGAAAGTTTATCATAATCGGAGAAAAAACTCACACATTGAGTCTGTTATTTACATAACACATGAAGTTCATTTCTACCTGAGGTCCCCGCCGTGATATTGCTGGAATATTGCTAAAAGCGGCGTAAAACCATACTCACTCACTCACTCACTCTACCTGAGGTTCAGATGGTTAAATGAAATATTTACAGAGAACATTTGTTGGTCGCCTAATGCAAGCATTCACATCACTGCCTGAGTCTTCCTACACAGTCGCTTCCGAATTTAACAAAAACATCGCCATGAATCTGTTTGCCTTTACTTCAAAGGTTTCAAAGTAATTGATTCAAATTAGATATGGGATATAAAATCAATTTCACCCATTAGCAAAACACTCTAAATGGTTTTGGTATTTACATATATTTCCATGACAATCCAATAAATCAAAATTGAAGCGATAAATTGCCATTAATATTAAACGTCAGAGAAATGTAATTCCATGTCATGACAATGCTCTTTGAAATTAATGCAAAGGTATGTTTCTTTTTCAAACAATATCTAAGCCACAAAATGTCATTAGAGCGTGTTTCCACCCAATGTGTTGTGTGTATGGACATAATTCGTGTCTGAATCCTTAACATAGTGGTGTTCCTGAATTGTATAAAACCGTTGTTATCAACATCGATATGCTTTATTTATAATACTTCTGAAGCCACAGATCTAAAGTACATGATCTGGGGGGTGTTACAAATTCATTCCATTTTCGCATTTCCTAAATTCATCACATGGGTTATGTACATAGATATATCTCTAACATTATTGTTACATGTCATTTACATTTGTATTTCAATAATTGTCTTTAATACATTGCAGTATCTGTTTCCATTTCTTTGGTGATAGAAATATTACTTTATGAATTCTTTTTATAACATCATTATAAATTTGATATACAAGTAGGAAGTGACATTTGCCTTCAATTAAGCCATTGTCAGACTATCAAACGATTCTGTTTCTGAAAGTGCCCACACTTGTGCCCATTTTCAATGGCAACATGCATGGTCGTTGTCATCTATGTTCGCTGAACGAGCTAGAGTGTGTATGTATGTCTGTCTCTGTGTCTGTGTGTTTGTGTGTGTGGTAGGTTTTCAACATGACAGACAGACAGAAGTATTTTATTAAAGTGTCACATGACAGTTACAATAGGTATAATCAAGGCATGCAAAATAGTTATATAAGAAACTGTCATCCAGCAATTACTTTCTTATGAGACACTAAACATATAAAACTTATGAAATATAAAAAAGCATATTACAAAATAAAGTATTGAATGAACATTATAAATAAAACACTTAGTGAGAATATACTACCATTGTTTTAAAATGTATACCATATAAATGGTATAAGAGCATTGCGCATTATCTTACCTCACACATAAATGTCGCTTTCTGATTGGCTGAGCACTCTTCTGTTATTTTCAATGTACCCTGCTTACAAGCGAGTAACATTTCAATGTACCCCGCTGTCAATGGCAACTCATTTGGTACTTCGTGGTAGTAATTCTTTATCTCGAATGGCATTGAATCACGTATGATGTACGGAAATTACCGATGTTTTGCGAATGCAAATCGATGGAAGGAAGATAACTCTAAATCATTAATCCTTGTCAGCAAAATCTAGCGAT